AAAAGTGTAAAAAAATAAAGGACAAATAAATGAATGTATTTATTGCATTTTTTTTTTTTAGCTGTGCTGTTTTTGTAAAAAATACTACAAATCAAAACTGGGAAAAAAGTGGGTTATTTTTACGTTTTTTTTCTCCTTTTTTTAAAATACTTTATTTGTCCTAGGTGAGGCGTTAGACACACATATGTGATATAAATATGTAGCCCTATCTGTCCTCTAAAAAACAATATATAATATGTGTGGGTGCACTTTGTCATTTACGAACAGAAACTAAAAACAAGCTCAGTCATGAAGGGGTTAAACGATGAGCAGATGGGTGACCCCAGATGTTGTTTGGGATTTAGTGGTGGTGCTTGGAAGCAGTCTGACCTGCTGATAGTAGTGAGCAGGAGGTATTTGCTAAGGTGCTCTGTCTCCTTCCTTGTAATGGACACTGAGGACGGGAGTGAAGGGAAATGCCTTCTGCTGTCTCCAGGAGCCGTGACTTTGGTGCCACTAGCCATTTAGTGAAATCCAAGTCCATCTGCGTCAATGGGCAGGTGTGAAGAAGGGGGTAGAATGAGCCAGTACTCCAAGTTCCAATGAGTCAAATGGCAGGAAATTGGTGTTTTCTTGTGCAGGTCACGTCACTATCTTGGAAACGGCCTTTACGCTGTGTTGCCCCAAGGTAAAAAAAAAAAAAGTTCATGTGGTGGTTGTGCAATGGACCCGAGAAGACATTAGTGCTTGAAGCTCTGTACAAAGTGGGCCCTACAGATTAATGAGGTTTACATCCGGTTTCTCATGCCTAAGGGATAAAGTATAATGGACCTGATAAAGATACATCTGCAGATTTTCACCAATACTCAACTCTGTGAGCCTTAATCCCTTCCACACTTGTCCAGATCAAGACTGTACCAGTTTTCTACAGAAACTGTTGACAAGACCATGGCAACTTTGGTACCTTATCTTCACCTCGCTCACCCATACACATAGGCCAAAAGTCGGGTTCTACCTCCTTGCCAATCCCAATACCTCTGGGATAAGGGGATACCTGAAGCTACCACAGATCCGGACTTGCAATCCACTGTACAAGCAATCTGTAATACCCTGTTCCCGTGGAACTGGAATTAGACCAGGTCCATCGTGCCCACCTGCCAAGAAGCTTCTCGCAGTCTGCACTCTGCAGTGTCCTATCCTGAGCGCATTTCTACTCCATTATGGAGAACATCTTGAAAAAAAAAGCTTGACAGTGGGGGCAGCTTAATTTTGATGATGCTCCTATTCAGATGATACTGGTCCTTTCTCGCAACAAGCTCCTAATGAGAGGACTACTGCGCCCACCACTCGGCCTTATTATTGCTGTCAATGCTACATTGCAGGTCTCCACTCCCTTTTATTTGGATGCAATTACCATCTACCCTCAGGCCTCTACTTAATTTCCGGACCTCAGAGATAGTAGAGTGACCCCTTCAGCCCTGCTCTGCTCCATGCTTATCGCCTCTGGAGGTGCATGAGCCTTGAGGGATGTTTTGTGGCATCTCTCTACTACGGATACGTGAATCTCCTTACCCACAGCTCAACCAGCTTCATTCAGAATGCACATGTATTCCATCCAGAGAGCTCATTGCACAGATGACTGTAACAAGCAAGTGACGATTAGTCTTCTACCCCTGCTTTACTTGCTTCCCCGCGATCTACTTCTTTTTGAGATAATTGACATGCTTACGGGGTTCTAGCTATTGTCTGCTCAGCGGCAATTCCGCTGCACCCCTCCGGTTTCTTCCACTGGATGTAAACACACTTTTTGTTCTTATTCTGCAAGACTCACTGTTTGACTTTTGCGTCTCCTGGGGCACTGTACTTATTATGCGGGGCAGACTGTGGCTCACTCCAGGACAGTCCTTTGTCATAGCGCCTAAACTATACTTAGGGATTTGTTGTCTGCTCACAATTCTGAGCTACTGATGGGTTTTGATGGAATTTGTAAGAGTCCTTATGAAATATCTTTCCTGTCTCTCTGACTTGTCTATCTCTGCTGCAGGTGTCAGTGTCATAAGACACAGGCAGCACCTCTGCAGTCATCCTGGTTGCCTAAAGGTTGGATAGAGACAAAATATAATGTACTTTTGTAATGCTGTGCTGTACACAATGTGCATGTGTAGCTTCATTTAAAAATTGTTTTTATCAAACCAACCTCTTTGGCGGAGCTTGCACTGTAGCTTGCATGGTTTTCCTCTCTAACTGCATTTTATATGAGCCCAGAGCAAAGCCTGGCTGGGCTGCAAGACTTTGGGGTTTGGTTGTCTACTAGGCAACCTGCGCTGCTCTCCCCTTTTCCCACTGAATCCTTGGTCTGTCCTCTGCAGACAGAGTCTACCCTTGCTCCACAGACATGTGAAACATCCCTGCCCTGGCAATTCTGAGTGTTTGTCTCTCCTTGGGGATTGCAGAGATCTATGGTGCAGGAATCGGGTGCAGTTTGTATTTGGTAACCCAGCTACTGTAGATATCTAAATGATTCACACCATTGTGTGTGTTTTAACACTGGCTACTACGGGCCCACTATAATTTGTGCCAAAGGACTACCTGATCCTATAGACAGGTATCACTATTAGTAGTGTTTATATTATTTTGCTTCTTCTGCATTTTTTATTGTCTAGTAAATGGGTGGGCTGACACTCCAGGGAAAAAAGAAAAGAGAAGGGCAGAACATCTGACGAAGGGGGCGTGGCCCCGGAAACACGTCATCAAAGGAGTCCCGTGCTGACACACAGGCATCTGTGCAGCCGTTTTACAGATATCGCTTAGTCTCGTTTTTTATGATTTAATTGATCCACTTTTGTGAGTATTTTTTACCCTGTATTTTTACTTATATCATTACAAAACCTTCTACGCTAGGGTGGCCGCCCTTCTCTTTTCTTTTTTCCCTCAGTGTTGCAGCTTCCCAGGCTGAAGTGGGGCAGCACCCCTAGTCATCTTCGTTTGCACTATATTCATCTGTTGGTCAAAATTAGTGCTTTGGATTTTTTTTACGGGCTGACACTCCAGTAGGTGAACAACTTAGCTGTGGACAGTTGCTGGAAATGCCTTACTAGTCTAATTATCCCTAATATTTTCTGCAAGTTTCAAGGCAGATTTGAATACTCCTTTTCCCTTGTTGCCCTGGTTTACCATGGTCACGTTAATAGTCTGCTTTCAGTAAAGTTTGCCACATATCTTGGGTCTTTACCCAGCCATTCTGCCTCCTGACTTTGGGCAAGAAAACCATAATCGAAGCAACGGGTATATTACTGTGTATCATTATTTACTCATCATATAATAAGATGGAAAGAGAATTCTGTGGCTGCAACTATTAACCACGTCCCGTCCATGGCCGTTTGTGAACGGCCGGACGGGAGCCTTACAGGAGTGGGAGGGCGTCTCAGCATAGGGCGTAGGGAAACTGTCAGCCTGTAAACAGCCAGCGATGGCTGTTTAAATGCAAGCTTTCAGGCGGCTCTAGAGACGCCCGATCGCTTGTACTGGCTGCGGGTGTGGGTCCCTAGGTGACATCAGGGGTCTTAGAGACCCCTGATGTCTGTATAAAGAGAACCTGTTATGTGAATTGGGTATCACATAGGGGATTTCTTAGTCCCCTTTGTGATAGCAATAAAGTTGTGTAAAAAAAAAAAAAAATTAAAGCATAAAAAAAATAAAGCTAAAAAAAAGTCCCAAATAAAAAAAAAAATTAAAATAACACAAGCATTTTTTAAAATGCTTGTGTTTTTTTGCGCCCATTACGCCACACGTACGTTACATATCGCCGCAAACGTCGGAATGAGAGCAATAATTCTAGGGCCATTAATCACTGATAACACTAAACTGTGGTAAAAGGGTCGCCTATGGCCAATTTTGGGTGGGGTCGTTTTCTGCGATTTCGCAGGCGCGCGCAATTTTAAAGCTTGACATGTTTGGTGTCTATTTACCTGACGTGACCCCGTATTTTATATTTTACCAAAAAATTGGGGTGAAAATAAATGTTTCATAACATTTCATTGGGAAACAGTTTTTTTTTTTTAAATTTAGGGTACTTGTTTTGTTATATAGTAAAAAATGAACACGGAAAAATGGCCTGGCCAGGAAGGGGGTGAAACACTGTGGTCTTTTAAGTGGTTAATCACCTGCATGGTATCACCATCTTGTTCTATTTTTTCTTTTTGTTTCAGGGCCACCACACAATGATCAGACCTTAAATCTGTCCCTGGTTTAAGGCCCCATTCACACAGGGGCGGTTCGGCCGTGCGGATTTGGCTGTGCAGACCCGCCGACATGAACGATCCCATATACTGCTATGGGGACCATTCATGCGACCGCGCAGGTTCGCACAATCCAAACAACCCTCAACCCTTTTTTTGCTGCGCTGATCAGTGCGGTTTCCATACAGCTTTTAATGGAACCGCGCTGAATAGCATTTTTTTGGGCGTTTTTCATTGCGTTTTGCCACTGAAACGCAATTAAAAGCTCCCAAAACCTCCCTTTTGAAATTAGTGGGGAAACCGCACTGATCCGCAGCCGCCCTGGTGTGAATGGGCATCTTAATCTGTTATTTTTATGTAACTATAAACAAAACTATAATCTTTGGTTTGGCATATCATAGCATGTACAATGGTTGAAACTTACTCTCTAATCCTTTGTTTGGCAGACCATATCTTTATGGTGCATGCTCTAGCCTGACTACTATTTTTTTGAGGCTGTTAAAATCCTTAGACAAGTACAAATGCTGTGGTGTAAGGGAATATTCATTTTAAAGGAGGAAATGATTTTCTGGCCTGGGCAGTTCTGACATTCAAAACTGCCTTGCAGTATGCTCTATGGAATGTCATTTTTTAGCAAATATTAAAGCAACACAGGGTAGTTTCCTTAAGGTTTGCTTATCTTTTTTTTTCTCATTATTATTTAATACCTACTATTTAATAAAGTTCATAAATACTGTAAACCTAAATATAGATAACTGACCTATATGTTTTTTTTAATAACAGCTGATTGCAGCAAAAGATCGCCTTGTATCGCTGCAAGGTGAACATAATCAGTTATTAGAAGAAAGCATACATATGAAGAAAAAAAGTGAAAGGAATGTTGAGGTAAGCGAATGCCAGGGACTGAGGACTATACTTTACATATAGGCTGAATAAATGCTTTTTTTAAAGATTATTTTATATCTTAAAATTTTTGTGTAACATTTTTTTGTAAGTTTACTAATAAAAATAACAATAATGCTCTGAAATCTCACTGACATTGAACCAGAGTATGCACGCTATGCCATGAGGTGCCGTGTTGAACTTCCAGTGACCAGTATGAGAGAGTGAGAGCGATAACACCAAATTTAACACACCTGCTCCCCATTCACACCTGAGACCTGGTAACACTAACGAGTCACATGACACCGGGGAGGGTAAATGGCTAATTGGGCCCAATTTGGACATTTTCACTTAGGGGTGTACTCACTTTTGTTGCCAGCGGTTTAGACATTAATGGCTGTGTGTTGAGTTATTTTGAGGGGACAGCAAATGTACACTGATATACAAGTACACTCACTACTTTACATTGTAGCAAAGTGTAATTTCTTCTGTGTCGTCACATGAAATTATATAATAAAATATTTACAAAAATGTGAGGGGTGTACTCACTTCTGTGAGATACTGTATATACAATTAGTGGGAAAAGTCATTTTCAGTTTCGGCCTGACAAATTTTGATGCAGGAGGTGCGTTTGCAATGCCATTCATTTAAATGGATCCCAAATGCACCTCCCGTCCGTAGTGTGATCGCCCGCACTGGAACGCGCGGTACTGCAATGCTTTGCGTTGCAGTGCAGTGCGATTTCCAAAAATGTGCATACTGTTTTATTGTGAAGTAGAACTTTGTCTGTAACGCTGCATTTGTGTATTTTATTTTAAATACATTTATTGTATTTTTTTTAATTTTATCCGATTAGTCAATTAATCAAAGTTAATAATCGGCTAACTAATTGATTATGAAAATAATTGTTATCTGCAGACACTCATTATTGTACCGCTATCCATCCCTTCCGCGAACAAACTGCCTCCTGCTATAGCCAAATACAGGGTGGACAACGGAAAAGTAGCCCGCCTCCAACACTAGTGCCACACTCTTTGGAGGAGGCTGTAGCTCCTTGCTCTCTGTCTGGTTATGTGGTGTCGCCCCATGTGCAGTGTCCCGGCTTTATTTTGCCTTCCTATTTAGTCCTTCTGTACACAGCCCATCAGAAAGATGGTGTTCTCCCTGGAACAGCGGATAGTGATTGTGGAAGGCTATGTGTGAAGCTGATCAATTATTAAGGAAACGCAAGAGGCATTCACAGACAAGTACCCAGGAACAAAACCACCATCTAAAACGTATTCAGAGTCTAATTCAGAAATGGCATCAAACCGGCTCTGTCTCAAACATGAAGAAATTGAGGCCTCCATCAGTCCAGACGCCCTAAGTCATCCGTGACATTCAGCAGCAGATTGCAAATAGCCCCCGAAAATCAACTCGAAGACTGTCTCAGCAAGTTAGTGTGTCACAAACGACGTATCCGCGAGTGCTGAAATCTCTGAACCTCAAACTGTACCGACTAACGTGTACAAGAACTGAAAGAGCCCGACAAAGCTAAACGCGTAAATTACTGTACATGGTTGCTGAATATGATTGCTGACAGACATTTGGACCCATTGCTGTACGTCATGACGGACAATCTTAGTTTAATTTATCAGGTCAGGTAAATTCCCAGAATACGAGGTACTGGTCAGCTGAAAATCCCCACTTGACTCACAAAACACCACTTCACGACCAGAAAATTGGCATTTGGTGCGCGGTTTCAGGAACACGAATAGTGGACCCAATTTTTTTCGAATCAACTGTGAATACCGCGGTTTACCTGGACATCTTTGAACAATTTTATGACCAACTAACACAAGAAGAAAAAATGTGGGAAATCATGCCACTTCTCGCATGACTCACTGGCACAGGTTCATGAAGAAGGAGCGAACTGTGAGCAAGGGGTTATGGTCACCACGTTCCCCTGGACTTGTCCACATGCAATTTTTATCTGTGGAGAAATTTAAAGCGGAAGGTGTATGCCAACAATCCACATACCCTGGATGAACTCAAGGAAAACATCACGAACACTATCAGCAGCATCACTGTTGAAGAGCTGCAAGCAGTATCAGCCAAAATGCTCCGACGTGCCCAATGGTGCACAGACGTGAACGGGGACCACTTTCAGCATCTGTTGTAACTTGTGAGTAATTGAATAAAAACAATCCACTTGCTCGTTCATCTTGTCATAATATCGTCGGAGGTGGGCTACTTTTCCGTGGCCCACTCTGTATTTCAAATTTTGACTCATCAGTCTAAAGCATCTGCTGTCATTTTGCTCCCCAGTTCCTATGTTTTCGTGCAAAGTTGAGTCGCTTAGCCTAGTTTCCACATCAGAGGTATGGCTTTTTGCTCACCACACAGTGGTTGAAGGAGGAAAAGTGAATGTCCTTGCATGGCCTAGTCAGAGCCCAGACTTAAACCCCATTGAAAATCTGTGGAATGACTTGAAGACTGCCGTCCACAAACGGTCACGATCAAATTTAACTGAACTTGAGCAGTTCTGCAACGAGTGGGCGATTATTGCAAAGTCTGGTTGTGCAAAGTGACTTATCCCAACAGACTAAAGGCTGTAATTAAAGCAAAAGGGGGTTCAACAAAATACTGACACAAATGGGGGGGGGTCCCAACTCAGTGATTCTGTTTTTGAAAAAAAAAATTCTGACATGTTGGGGCTTGTTCACACTGAATGCGGTGCGTTCCAGAGTGGTAGTGAAACAATTTTGGTCACAAACAGAATCAAATTTTCCCATAGAGTTCAATGTAAATGAGGTTAATCCGTTCTTAACCATATGTAAATTCATTACCACTTTGCACTTTCTTTTTACCACTTTCTTTTTACCACCATGCTTGCTCTGCACTTTCTTTGGAGCCATGCTGGATTGAATAATACTGTGCAGTACTGTATGTGCTAAAAAAAAAAGCACACAAAAAAGCTTCACAGCAAGTGTCCACAGGTGTCTGTCTGTGACCGCAATCTTTACTAGAGGAAGACCACGTGTCAGAGCGGGGAAGATCGGCCGCGGTCGTGTTAGTCACCCGATCTGGAGTTCGCGAACAGAAGCAAAACTTCCTGTCCGCGAACTAAAAGCGTTCATGAACCGAGGTATTACTGTGTGTGTATAATATATATATTAGGGATGTCCCGATACCAAAGCTAGCACCTGTATCGTGACCGATACAGGGCATTTTGACAAGTACTTGTCAAAATGCCCCGATACAAAGCGCCGAAGCTTGCGCTGTTTTTTTCTTTCACTTACCGCGATGTGTCGAGTCACTGCTGCTCCGGTGGACGGTGCTCCAGGCAGTCGCCGGCCACCTAAATTAGGACCCCACCTGGAGCGCCGCCCATCGGAGCAGCAGTGACGCCACGCTCCTCTCCAGCTCAGCGCCGACGATGTCCTGAGGCACCGCGATCGAGGCAACGGTGAGTAAGACAGCTTACTCACTGTTTCTTCTTGTTCACACAAAAAACTATCTACTGCTGCAGTGCATTCTATATGTACTGTATATGTGCTACATATAGAATGCACTGCAGTAGATTTACAATTCTCTCTAATATGAATGGGTTAAATTATCCATAGTACATAACAGTACATAACATGTAGTTGTACTATGGATCATTTAACCCATTCATGTTAGCAGAATTGTAAATCTACTGCAGTGCATTCTATATGTAGCACATATACAGTACATATGGAATGCACTGCAGCAGTAGATTTACAATTATCCTCTGCTAATCTGAATGGGTTAAGTGATCCGTAGTACAACTACATGTTATGTACTATTCTGTACTATGGATCATTTAACCCATTCATATTAGCAGTGCACAATTGTAAATCTATATGTACTGTATATGTCCTACATATAGAATGCACTGCATTCTAGATTTACAATTCTTTACAATTGCAGTAGATTTACAATTCTCTCCTGCTAACATGAATGGGTTAAATGATCCATAGTACATATACATGTTATGTACTATGGATCATGATTTAACCTATTCATGTTAGCAGTGGATAATTGTAACTCTATTACTGCAGTGTAAGGGACATGTGTACTGTATATGTACTATGGATCATGGTTTAACCTATTCATGTTAGCAGGGCAGAATTGCGAGCGCCTCCCACAAGCTGAACACCGAGACGCGATGCAGCGATCCTGCCCAGGGCCCACTACAAGAGGCACCTCATGAGGCAACATGGATCGGAGTGAAACTGTGAGTGAGGGAAGCTGGGACAAGGCTGCCTGTAAATCTATTGCTATAGTGTACTGGACATGTGTAATGTATATGTAGTACATATATACAGCACACACCTCCACTACATTACAGCAATAGATTTACAATTCTCCCCTGCTAACATGAATAGGTTAAATCATGGTCCATAGTACATAACATGTAGTTGTACTATGGATAATTTAAAGTCACCTGGCCCTTTAAAGTATCGGTAATTGGTATCGGCAAGTACATGAGGGGAAGTACTTGTACCTGGTCCTGAAAAAGTGGTATCGGGACATCCCTAATACAGTGTTTCCTGAAAATAAGACACTGTCTTGTATATTTTTTTGCCCCCAAAAACCACACTATTTTCAGGGTATGTCTTATTATTTTTAATGTGCAACAAAATGTACAACAATCTAAAGTTATTCATGTACAACAATCCAAAGTTATCAGGTACCACTCCGCCTGTCACAGTAACTGGCGCTAAAAAGGAATTTCGGCTAATGCAGCTCTGCTGTCTTCGCCGCCACAGCCTTGCTTTCTACAGCACCGGCTTCCTTTGCCATCAGGGACAGTGGCACCAGCGGTGCAGCAGTGGGGACATCAGACAGTGGACAGCGAGCGAACGTGTATGGGTTTGACGGTTGCCAGGAGATCGGTACTTGCCTGACTGCATTGTGCCAAGTATAAAGTTTGGTGGAGGGGGGATTATGGTGTGGGGTTGTTTTTCAGGGGTTGGGCTTGGCCCCTTAGTTCCAGT